TTCCACCTCCATTTCCACTGCTACTGTTTGGTTCCTTCTCATTATTTTAATTCAACTCAACTCAACTAGTTAAATTCAGGTCTCACTCATGGGGCCTTTCTCAGTACAAGGAGCTTACACGATGCAAAGATTATCCTCAAGGAGATCCCAATTAGTTGAGTAGTGGGGGGACACACATGTAAAGTAAGAAACATCAAGATAAAAAATGTGTTTGGAGGACATTAAACAAATTTTTTAAAGGGGCTCCTGGGTGGCTCAGTCGGTTAAGTGTCCAACTTCAGCTCAGGTCATGATCTCACAGTTTGTGAGTTCAAGCCCCACAAGGGGCTCTGTGCTGAAAGCTCAGAGCCTGGAGACTGATTTGGATTCTGTGTGTCTCCTTCTCTGCCTCTCACCCGCACATGTTCTGTCTCTCTCTGTCTCTCAAAATAAATAAACATTAAATAAAATAAATTAAAAAATGTGTTTGGAGAAAGAGGCAGGGAAGCTGAACCAGTCAGCGAGACCACAGAGCTCTGGTTAAACAAAGGGGCACATCCCAAACTACCCACCACTCCTCACCTTTCCCAGGTAATCTGGACGTCTACACTATCCTTGGCATCCTTATCTCCCATTTGTACGTAAACGTAAATTAACCCCAATGAATTTGATGTCATCTGCTGGTTACTGTTATCTGGACGCTGTATGATCTGGACGCTGTATGATATTCTTTTTTTTATTTAACATTTTTAAGTTTATTTATTTTGAGAGAGACAGAGATAGCACAAGCAGGGCAGGGGCAGAGAGAGAGGAGAGAGAGAATCTCAAGCAGGCTCTGTAGGGTCAGCGCAGAGCCTGATGCAGGGCTTGAACTCACAAAACTGTGAGATCATGACGTGAGCTGAATCAGAAGTTAGATGCTTAACCCACTGGGCTACCCAGGCACCCCCTGTATGATATTCTTATCTAAAGGGTCAATATTGTGATGAAGGAGCTTCGTCATTGGAGCCTGAGGTGGTAGCCTTCACTGTGTGCTGTGTTGTTGGGCCAGTTTTTTTTTTTTTAATTTTTTTTTCAACGTTTTTATTTATTTTGGGGACAGAGAGAGACAGAGCATGAACGGGGGAGGGGCAGAGAGAGAGGGAGACACAGAATCGGAAACAGGCTCCAGGCTCTGAGCCGTCAGCCCAGAGCCTGACGCGGGGCTCGAACTCACGGACCGCGAGATCGTGACCTGGCTGAAGTCGGACGCTCAACCGACTGCGCCACCCAGGCGCCCCGGGCCAGTTTTTTAACCACTTGGAGCTTCAGTTACCTCAACTAGGAAATGGGGACAACAGCCCGGTCACGGTGGTGTCCTGAGGGCCAAATCCGATCACAGCTGTACCTACATACCTTCTCCTTAGTATCAACACTCCCTGGACTTCCCTAACCCTGTTCAAACTGAAGGTGAATTCCAGACAGAGTGGCCACAGCCCTCTCCAGAGGGTTTCTATGTCACCCTTCATTTTAGTTGGTTTCAGTATGGTAATCATCTCAACATTACTGAGACACAGGACAGGCATATGGACAACTTCCCCCCACCCCCTTATTTAGCTTCCAGTCTCATTATTGGTGGAAAGAAAGAAAGAAAGAAAGAAAGAAAGAAAGAAAGAAAGCAAACCTCTTTTAAAGCTAGATAGGATTGGTCTCATTCTCACAAATAGAAATGAACACAAATCTACGTAACTCTAAGAACACCATATTCACACCACGACAGAATCAGTCACACCCAGAAGAGTCTGGAAATGTGTCCCTGTCTGGTTTAAATGCCCCCTACCCTTTTTGTCTCCTTCTTTCTCCCCTTTTCCATTTCTATCTGCTTAACCCCCTCATTTTCTCCCTTCCCCCTACGAATGTCAAAAAAGTCCAGCAGGTATCCAGTGGATTTCTTTTCTAGAAGACCCTATTTTCATGGAAGACACCCACAGATCTCAGGGATCTAAGAACCTGTTGTTTGGGTGGCTGGAAAGATGGAAAGCTCTCACAGCTTTGAGTCTGCTCTGATCCCCAAAACAAAATCCAACATGCATGTATTCACTTGTTTGTTGCCTTAATTCTTCAGCAAAAGAATCCATAAAACTCAATTATAATCTGCCAGATTATGACAAAACCATCTTGGACAGATGTGACTTCAGTACACTGAAGTCCAGAGCTTGAGACCAATGTACATTAAATGAAAAGAAGGGCACTGTCCTTCTTGATTTGGATGTCCCAGATTAAGACACTCTACAGCTTGTTGGGGACACCTGTATTGCTCTCTTCCACAATAAAAATGGCCAGTTTACTGAGCAATCACTAGTCGGACAGCTTCCAACAAAGCCGTATCGTTAAAGCAATCCTGTCTTAATCTTTTGTCCACCTCCAGGACCTCCAAGCGTCACCAGAGATGCAGGGTGATGGCTTTTGTCAGTGGCCAATAGAGAATGTGAAATAGACACTGTGACACTGCCGTCCCCCGGAGAATAGGCATGCAGTGTTGTGGTGTGGACGACGGCTCCCTCGCAGCTCTCTGGTTTCTCATGTGCTCCGAGAACACACCCCGCAGAGTGCATTCATCGCAATAGCCCATGTGTGACCTTTGGAAAAGTCCTTGAAAACAGTGAAACAGGAGTCTGAGATGAAATCTGGAATCCATTCCCGTCTTACACAGGAAGAAAATTAGGCATAGAACAACAAAGCCCATAGTTCAGAGAAACCTGGGGAGGCTCTGGCTGACATTAAAATCGTGGAAGTTTTTTTTTTTTTTTTTCTCCATTACTTTGTCTTTCGTAAAAGCTTTTCATCTGAGCAGCCCAAAGCTGCTAGAAAATACTGTATGGTTAGTAGACGGCAATAACTGGCTTCTCCAGTGAATAAAGAAGGCAGAATAAGAATAGAGATGCTGAGTAATGCATTAAAAGCCAATTACTAAACACTTTTCCAGGCTACTAAGTAAATGCTATTCCCCCAAATATAAGTGGCTACCATTTCCCCCTTTGGAATAATGGATCGGTGATAATGGCGTTAGGGCTGGGAGGTTAGGACAGAGAGAAAAAAAAAAAACCGTGCTCCTTAAGCCCTAACTCCATGATGGAATTCATTAGCCCAGACATCATGGATCTGGAAATATTCATCCACTTAGAGCATGAATCAGCAGAGTTGTGTGCTTGCTCAGTAAATTTAACTCGACAAACATTTGTGGGCTAACACTCTTTTATAGGTACAGACCAATTTCCTTTTGTCCCTGGCTGATATTATTCACAATAATTGGCCATATCATATGTTCTTATTTCATACGTATATACGATTATCAACCCGTACTCCCTCTGGAAGCATTCTCCTTCTTTGCCAGTAAGAAGAGAAGGGTAGGACATTTCTGAGTCAAGTGGTGGCATATAATCCAGTGAAAATCAATTGGCAGGGAAATTTGGTTTGGAACTGTGTGTAAGAATCCACCTAAAGTTTGTCTGGGAGGTCCCTCAAAAGGGTTACAGACCCTGAACCAAACAAGATGATTCAGAAGTAATCCAGCTGGGGGAATAGCATCGGATGCTCAGACCTAGAACACTTATTCATACATACGAATAAGTGAATTTTGTTCTTTTCTTAAGTACCTTCACAGTTCATTTTTTATTTTCCTTAAAAAAAAAAAAAAAAAGTAAATGGCATTACTCCGGTCTCCAAAACAGATGCCAGTTTGAACTTTACTCTGCCAGCAAGTATTTGGTTTGGCACCGCAGGCCTGGAGCTGAAAAAATATTTGCCGATTCCAAAAAGATTTAACGAGCTTTGCTGAAGATGCCGGTGCCATTTGGCATGTCACTGGGGCTGTGGCACGGCAAAGAGAACTCTCTTAACCACAGATTTTATTTGCCCAAGGTAGCCAACGCTGGGGATTCAGGCGCTTCCTTGAATCAAGAAGCCGAAAGACAAATGAGTAAAATTTCCAAGAGAAAAGTGACCAAAGCAGGCATTAAAAAAAAAAAAAACACAAAAAAAACACCAACAACAAAAAAAACCCAGAAAAAAACCTTGCTGCCATTGAAAATGAAGCCAGTAGGTTTTGATGGCTAATTTTCAGAACTGTCAATAACATCTTCATACCAGCCGTCAGACACGGTCTCCAACACTATCAGTCAGGAAACCAAATAAATCTCTAACTTGTAGCAAAGCTATTCTTATCCAATATCAGACACTAAAAACTTTGCTACAGTGTATTTTGTTGCCATCTGATAGCCTCCTAATTGTGGAGTCAGAGTTTAACTACATGAAAACTGAATGACCTACTTCAAGTATCTGTACAACCAGCAAATTTACCTTATGGTGCAAAGACAGACATGCATTGCTTTTATTAATATTTAATAGAATACCATGCATAAATCTTTCCCTGTGATTGGAAAGACTGACCTTACTGCACATAAATCTCATATGTTAAAAGCCACTGGAGGTTGTCACCCGAAATCATGTATTTCAGTAAGAGGCGCAGTTACCCTGCAGGAAAACAAGGCTGTGGTCCTCTGAGTTAACGTCACATCTGACAACTATAATAAAAAATGAAAAATATTTCCGTACCAGTGTGTGCTGAAAAATCACATGTCTGTTTTCACGGATGTGGGGACAGGAAGAGTGGCACTGAAACTGTGACCACCTTGAAGAAGAGAAACTCTGGATTGTTTTCGTTAATTTCACATTGTGAGAAAACATACATATACTTGGGTGTATCCCACCTCAACTCCTATGGATCTCCCCAAACTTCTAAATGTCCTTTTCACTAAGGCCATGAGCCGATTCAATGCTTGTTCCATGGTCACCTGATGCCAAGCTTCAATAACAAATATCCTCAAAGAGCGAGCCAAGCTCTGTCCTGCTTTTCCACAGAAAAGACCTTTTCACCAAAAACGACGACGGAGCCATCTACCTAACTTAACTGAAATGTGGAAGTCAGAGTAGAAGTCAAAAAGCCGCGAAACAACAGAAGGATGATGATAATTGTTATTTACCATTTTGGCTTCTGAATGCATTGGCTGGACTTGGGGAGAAGCACAGGGGTTGCTGAGATTTGGACCTTGCATTCCCAGGAGGTTGGAGTTCACTGACATTTGTCTCTCCATCTAAGAGAAAGGAAAGCAACAGAATCAGAGTCTGAGAAAAGCAGTCTAGGTCACAGACAAAGCTGCATTTCTCTTTCAAGTGGGTCATTTAGAAGCTCTGTGAATAACTCTGGAGAGAGACTGTGGTTTGGGGAAGGTAAGCAACGCACTTCTGAGTCTCAAACTCAAGGACATCAAAGAACTAATCCAAAGCCAGGCCTTCTATCGGAGATGCCCCATGCCAACCAGAACCATGTCGTCATGGTACGTTTACAAATAAAAGTATGGACTATTTCCACTTTTGCAAACCCTCCAACTGCCACTAGTCATGCTTCTTTTTATAACTGGGAAGAATAATGTATGCACAGAAAAGCACTGGAAAGATACCCACCACATGGTTATCTCAGGTTATCCATGGCTTCCCCCCCCCCCGCCGCCTCCTTCAGTTTTATGCAAAAACATGCATCATTTTAGCAATAAGAAAAACACTAAATTAATTTAAAAAGTAATGCTCCCAAACAAGGTGGGTCTTCCTGGCCCCGTAACTCGTAAGCATGATTAAGATGACTAACAGGTATTTGAGCTGCTGTCCGGGCACAACTCCCCTTTCCTGTAAATCTAGTCACGACCCTACATAGCAGCAGCTTCTGGCCTTACAGCAGGGCTAGGGCCGGGGGTGGGTGAAGAAAGCAGCTGAGGGCACTCTATGACACGTGATTGACCCCTCCAACCTTGTCCCCCCGGCCTGCCATCGGGTCTACAATTAACGTCGTTCAAGTACCTGTATGAGTTGTGGCATTTTTGTCTCCAGGGTGTCCCTGTTAAAGAGTAAATACAACCAGATCTCTCTTTCAGTTGGGAAAGGGTGTGTCTGATTGATTTTTTTTTTTCTGTGTAGTAGAAATTTAGCACTTTTCAAAGAACTCGAGTAAAGCAAGTACACTTAATACTCAAATCACACAGAGAATAGAGTTTCCTCAAGAGGAAGAAACAAATTCTTCAATGCAAAAGTTCTTCCACTTGTCAAAGGATGGATAGAAAACAGCGGTCAGAAATTTCAGGAAACCCAGGGGCACCTGGATGGCTCAGTCAGTTGAGGGTCCAACTCTTTTTTTTTTTTTTTTTAACGTTTATTTATTTTTGAGACAGAGAGAGACAGAGCATGAATGGGGGAGGGTCAGAGAGAGGGACACACAGAATCTGAAACAGGGTCCAGGCTCTGAGCTGTCAGCACAGAGCCCGACGCGGGCTCGAACTCACGGACCGCGAGATCATGACCTGAGCCGAAGTCGGCCGCTTAACCGACTGAGCCACGCAGGCGCCCCGAGGATCCAACTCTTGATTTCAGCTCAGGTCATGATCCCAGGGTTGTGGGATGGAGCCTCACGTCAGGCTCCGTGCTGAGTGTCGGGCTTACTTAAGATCCTCTCTCTCCTTCTGCTCCTCTCCCCTACTTTCTCTCTCTCTCTCTCTCTCTCTCTCTCTCTCTCTCTCTCTCTCACACACACACACACACACACACACACATAAAACAAATAAATAAAAAATTAAAAAAAGAATTTCAGAGAATCTGGTTTCTGCTCAAAGTCAGCTGGGGTAGTCTTGGAAAATACAGAGTTCTTTATCACTGGAACTCTTCCAAGAGTGGAGGACAGAAACCTCACAGACAAGAGTGGAGAGCAAAGTTGAGGTAAATGCCCCTTTGGGTCCCTGCCGTCCTTGAGTTCCATCCCTTCAATCCCTGCTGGGTCTGCCTAGGCGCGGGACTATACTTACAACATTAATGTGTGGAGTAACGGAGGTGCTCACTAAATGACATGAGTGACGGGCGGACAGTCCCTGTCCCAGCAAAGCACCATTAGCTGTACCTGAGCCTGACAGAACAGACCAGTTATCTGGCAGTGGACGGTGGTGTGAAACTGCTTCAAAAGGAGCTATCTGGTGAAGAATTTTCTATACATTCTGGGGCATGCCAGCAAAAACTTCTGAGGCCTTAGCAATTCAGTAAAATAACATGTTCACTCTCACATACGCCCTGAGTCTCCAGGTAGCCTGGGTATTTTATTTTTTTATGATTGTTTTTGTAATTCTGGTAAAATACGTGTATCATAAAATTTACCATTTTAACTATGTTTAAGCGTGCAGTTCAGTGCTATTAAGTACATCCGTGTACTCTGACCAGTAACTCATGAAGATTGCTCCACAAAATGCTTGTTCCTTATAACTGCCCCTTCCAGAGGCTGGAGGATAGAAGACTTGGAAAGGCACTTGACAATTCCAATGGGGGACCTTCACCTGGAGGCACATCAAGTCCAAATGAGCTTTTGCTTTCAGTTTCCCAAAAGGAAGGTCATGGAGAAGCACAAATGATTATCCGAAAGTTTCCAAGCTACTAGCCATCAGGCACTACGAGGACATGGGGGCAGCTTACTTGTAGCCTCGGGTTTCCCTCTTTGTGGAAAAGTTACAGTCTGTGACTATTTCTACTCCATGACTCACAAATTCAACAGCATGTTGAAAACAGGCTGATTTCTCTACCTAAAAAAAAACACAAAAACTGCATTTTTCCACCTTAGCGATTATAAGGGCTCAGCAAGAGCCTCTTCGAGACAACTATTTGCCGCTTATACTAATAAGGCTCTGCCTCACAAGTGTGCTCGGGTGAGGCGACTAGAATCAAGAAGTCAGAAGATGGGAGTGGTTTGCTGAATACTAAGCAACATTTAGCACTGCAGGTAAAACATCCAGATAAAGGTTTTTACCTTTTTTTGGGGGGGGGGGGAGAAGGCTTCTCCTTTCCCCCTGAAACAAATCAGAAAACGGAGCTCAAATGTCCACAGGTCACTGGGCTTTTGTAATGACACAGGAGGGTTCCTCTTCCCAAATTATGTCAACATTTGATGTTCAAGGTAGGAATTCACAATACAATGAAATCCTGCCTTGTTGTTCACCACATCCCCAGGATCGAGTACAGCCCTTGACCCACAGCAGGTGTCAGCAAAAGTCTGGGGAACGAGTGAATCAATCCCTGAACAGAGGCATCATTTTGCTTCTGACCAAGGACCTTGTGAGATGTGGGGTCTGGCAGTGTGCACTTCACATGAGTTCAGAATCTTAACCTTCACCGACAGACAGGCTGATCTTTTATACCAAGGGAATCGTGGTTTCCCAGGGCAGGAACTCTAGAGGAAGACTATGCTTTCAAGTGCCAAAATCTTGGGGCGCCTGGGCAGCTCAGTCGGTTAAGTGTCTGACTTCAACTCAGGTCATGATGTCACGGTTTGTGAGTTCAAGCCCCGTGTTGGGCTCTGTGCTGACAGCTCGGAGCCTGGAGCCTGCTTCGGATTCTGTGTCTCCCTCTCTCACTGCTCTTCCCCTGCTCATGCTCTGTCTCTCCTTGAAAAATAAGCATTTTTTTTAAAAATGCCAAAATCTTAGGACAGGAGCAGGAGACTTGATAACAAGGAAGAGTAGGCCTAGATTTCTAGAACCAGGGACTCGTAAAGTATCTTTTCTTAGCGATTTTATGATCGTTTTTATTAGTTACATTAGTGTCACTCTAAAACCAAGGTTTCTCAGCCTCAGTGCTGTTGACCTATTGGGCCCAAATAAATAATTTTTTTGTGGGGGCCGTCCTGTGCCTGGTAGAATGTTCAACATCATCCCTGGCCTCTCCCTACAGACCCCAGTAGCACCCTTTCCCCAGTTGTGATGGAGCAGCAGGATCTCCAGACATTTCCAAATATCCCCTGCGGGAGACAACCACCCCCAGTTGAGAATCAGTGCTCTAGACTGATACTATTGTCATGGCAGCTGTCCGTGTCAGTGACAAGGGCTTGGGAACTCGTGTGGGGATAGCATCCCTGACTTGCTGTCTACACTGGCTCTTGATCACGCTCCTGATCTTTTACTTGTATTCTGAAGCACCAACAGGAGGTCACGGTGTATAATGACGTGACGTGGGGGAACCAGTGCGAGACGCCTGTTCTCTGCGCTCCCTGAGCCCGTGTCCCACCTTTGTCCCTGGAAATGGTACGGTTTACTCAAGTGGGACAAAAAGGTCACCGCAGTGGCCTTTTTCTAGTTAATGGATGGAATTTATGAAAGGAAACTAACGTTGGCCAAGAGGGAGTTACAGTCTACACGAAGACAGCTTATGGTGGGGGTCTTGGCGCAGCTGGCTGGGTTGAATAAAACCGGGGATAATGGCCTTGGTGGCACTGTTGTCCCTCCCCCTAAAGATGCTTACGGTGAGCAACGCAGGTAAAGTGTGTCAACTCATCTGTTCCTTTTGACCCGGTTTTGCAAAGACTCTTTCTAGCCAGGACCATCCAATACTTGTCGTAGGCAGGTCCATTTCTCTGAATTTGGGCCTCCACACTCCTGCCCCCCCCCCCCCCGCCCCGCCTCCACCTAGATAAACCAGCCAACTGCTCAACCTTCGAGAATCTGAGCTGCTTGGCGCAAGTTGCGATGGGGTTTGTCACAGCTGTGTGACATTAGGCGGCTGCCTTCAACTTCTTACCCTTTAGCTTTTCGCCTGTAAGATGAGCACGTCAATAACTACCGCGACCCCACTCCCACAGGATGGCGATGCCAGCAACGTGAAGTGACAAATGCAGACAATTTCTTAAAAATGCCCAAATGCTCTGCCAGGCATTGTTGATACTGGTGCGGAAGGGTTTTCGTTGAGTTGTCATATCACCTCTAGGGCTCTGAAAAACTCCTGTGGCCCCAGGAATAACGACACCAACCATGCTCCCCGAATTACAAAGCCAGGGAGGATGAAGAAAGACGGGGAGGGGATCCCGTGGAAGGAGAGCAAGGTTTGCTCTGGAACAGTCTGTATGTCCCTTCTAGGCGAATGCGTTGTTTTCAGAGGTGGGGGGTATAATATAATGATTAAGTGTAGACTCTAGAGTCATACCGCCTGGATTTAAATCCAGACGCTCCATCACTTACTAACTGTGACCTTCGGCCAGTGCCTCAGTTTTCTCGTCTGTAAAATGGAGGTAATAACAAGGCGTCCCTCGCGGGTTTGTTGTGACAGTGAAAGCAGAGAATGTACATATCATGCAGGAGGTGACGGGGTGGGTTTAAAACTCAGCGATGCTGCCTCTCAGCCAAGCAAGCTACCTGCCTTACTCTTCTCATTTGAACAAAGGGGAATAGAAATAGTACGTACCTGACGGGATTGTTCCATGTGTTGATGAAATGCTTACGGGGGGACTAACACACGGTAAGCACCCGATAAATGCTGTGAGCATGCTTAGTAGAACATGATGCCCAGGACTACATATTAGCAGGCATTATGTACCATCATTATTACTTTTATCATGATAATTGTTACTCTGGGTCCTGGCTAGACCACTCCCTGGTGAGTTAGAGACACTCTGTATATAGCCCACACTATACAGGCTTTGGGCGAGTCATAAAACACTGTGCCCTTGAACAAATTCCATTCCCTGGGTGTGGCAAGCTCGCTCGCCCGCAGGAAGTTGGGGCCAGGCCTCACTAGGAGAGCCCTGAAGGACAGGAAAGCCAGCAAGACACCTAGCAACAGACAACCGGGCACTCTACCCAAAGTAGCACACAGCTCAACTCTTCATCCAGAAGCAGCCACTCTCTTCCCAGCTTAGAGCTCAGCTTTTCTTTAGTGCCTTCAACAGAGCAGGATTCGGTGGAAGCAAGAAGCACTTACTGGCATGGAGACGGCAGAAGATCCCGGCATTGTTGGGTTGGGCAGGGTCCCAGGCATGGAGGCTGGCATGGGCTGTCTCTGTCTGTTGTGGAGATGTAGCAGAGAAGATAGAGAGCCTGGGACAGGCCTGGTAACACAGACAAAAAGCAGACATTATTCCTGATGCCTTGGGGCAGGGGATTCGCTGCCTGTGTCCAGAACCAGCGGGGACAACACCATTACATGAGCAACAGATCAGATCCTCTGATGGGAACCACATAATTGAGGATATTAGGGAAATAATAACAAATAAAACACAAGCCTGGCTTCCTCTGCTGCTTCCTAGTTAATACATCAAATTCTACTTCATTTCCTGACCTCTGTTATCTAACTCATGTTCAATAGTCAACAAGTCGGTAAATCTCCTACAACCCCTGCTTCTTAGGGAAGGGACTTGGGGGCGAAATCCTGTGTTTTGCTCAGAATTCTCTGCCCTTTGGGAGGAACTTAGACCCTGAGATCTGTGTGCGTTTGTTTTATCCACACTCTCTTAAGCCTCTGCCTGGAAGCCCTCCCGGCTTTGTACGGAACATACTTGCACCGTCTGGATTTGAATAGCCAACGTTAGTCATGAACTCCCAACAGAAATCTGTGTTGACTTTTTCGTAATTCTCCAGCGTGGGTGGAAAAAACAAAAAAAACCCCAAAAAACAAAAAACAAAGCCAGGACCAAGGAACCAAAGGAACAAGACTGAGGTTCATGCCACTATAGCTGGCCTTTTTCGGGCAAGGCCTGAGCCCAGCCCCCAATTACCAATCCTTCATTTTATAATAACTGGAGGTGTTAGGCTGTTTGACAGAAACTGATTTTGGCCTGACCCGCAGAACTCGGGTAAGCATTCCTCGGGGGAGTACACAGTTTGAGCTTTTGCTTCAATTTGCCTGAGAACAAAATTTTTTCAGGAACTCAAATTGATTTAATGAGCCAGGGAATGTGTGGCTGAGGGAAAAAGGAAATTATTTGTGTTTATGAAAAATGGCAAATAAGTGACCTCCTCAGCTAAATTCTCAATCTCCTGATGCTTTTGCCCCAGGGAGCTCTATAAATGTCAAACAGTTAAATTAAAGATTTAACAAATAAAACAAATACATAAACAACCCCCCCCCCCCCTCCGAGGACCTCTGAGGCCCCCATGTTAAGACACCTTATCCTGAATGCCACGAAAGAAGCTTCTGCTCCCAGAATTGATGCATTTTCTTTAAAAGAAAAAAAGATTCCCTCCTGCTAAGCGCTGGGTAAAGACTGCAGATGGAGGTGTTCGGTGCGGCTGGGTGCCTCTCTATGCTTCAGGGGAGGACAGTCCCGTCCAGAGTACTGTGAGAAGCCTCTTTGGAGCTCATGTGCCTCGCCTCCCGTGGCTGACTTAGGGCGAAGTGGGAGATTGAGACAGGGGAAACAATACCAACATGTTCTTCTTTTGCATTGCTGTTGAAATTAGTCAATATTTATATGTTTAAGAAGTTATATACATGAGGGGCGCCTGGGTGGCTCAGTCGGTTAGGCGTCCGACTTCAGCTCAGGTCATAATCTCATGGTTCGTGAGTTGAAGCCCTGCGTCCATCGGGCTCTGTGCTGACAGCTCAGGGCCTGGAGCCTGCTTCGGATTCTGTGTCTCCCTCTCTCTCTCTCTCTCTGCTCCTCCCCTGCTCACACTCTGTCTCTCCCAAAAGTAAACATTAAAAAAAATTACAAAAAGAAGTTACATACATGAAAATATAGAAGAATATAAAACCTTTACACAGACTCCATGTCAAGGTACACAAATGGCACCCAGCTTTGTTAACGGAACATGTACATGAGTGGTTACACGGATAGGCCAATGTAAGTAGCCTGTAACAGTAAAATGAGTGTTTTCAGAAAAGCAAATGAGTATTATGGGTATTTTTTTGACATGTGCCCTGGGGATTTCTGGAGTATAGATTAACAAGAGGATTAGTAGGGTCTTTGAAGGTCCTTCACATTTCAGAGTTCTAGGAAACTGCTGACGTCCATTGCTCCAAAATTCTATAGCAGGCTGTAATTTCACTGGGTCCTAAAGCTTATCTCACTCAGAGGTGGATAGCTCGAATCACATAAGTATAAATGTGGCTCTATCTGGAAAGAAAATAGCTGTACAGTAATGCTCAGTTCCTCTAGGTGCAAAGTTAGTAATCTGAACTGCCCTGTTTTAAAATGAGAAAGACTCACTGAGAGCATCTCTACAGATAGGTAATCATCTATCCATCCATTCGCCTATAGATATCCAGGCAGACGGATAGATGCACAAACATACATGTACACATACATATAGGTACATCTAAGCCTTCTACCATATGTCTGTTTCCCTAGTCACCAGGAGGAATGCTTTGGGTATAGACAGGGACAAACCAAAAGAGATAACTGAGAACATTTTATTATGTTGATATGCCATATCATCCTCAGAAAGGAAGAGCGGCATAGTATCGTCATTGACATTTTGTTTCCAACATGGCATATTAATGATGATCTCGGTGATCAGTGTTTATTGATGAGCTATTATGAAAAAAGAAATCAATTAAACAGAGCTGATGTGAATGGAGATGCAAAAGTAATTAAATTTAAAATGAGTTTTCATGCTTCACAAAACTATGGAAAACTCCCAGTTGGATACAGTAGCTGGGGAATGGTATGTTTCATTTAATCAATGTTCTTATTAGATCAGTTGCTTCCACACCATGCATAGATGTACTAGATTTTTAAATAACAAGCATTCCCTCGTTAATTAAGAAAGCCTTTCAGGGTACTGAACTCCCTTGGAATTATAATAATAATTGCCTAATGGCAGCAGTCAAACCAGCTAACAATATATACTTGAAATAGAAATGGCTATTTGAGAACGCTGTATGTTTGGGCTCTGAAGAATTCTGAATTACTATTTTACACAGATTCTACAAACAATTTTCCCAACCCATGTATAAAACTGCGTCATTTTCTAGGCTTCTTGCTTGGGTTTTTAAAACTACAAACACTGAAAGAAAAAAAAAATCCATTCTACCCATCACTGGGCATACAAAGGACTAGACTGAAGTAATTATGTAGCTTGGCCCAATAAATAATCATTTGTCCAGAATATTCTGATCACTGAAGCAAGAGTGGTATCGGAATAATTACATAAATTATCTAATTCCCCTTGCGTATACAGAAATAATTACTAACACATTGCACTTGCATGAAACTTTTTATGTTGCACTTATATAGTTTCATATTTTTCAAAATATTTTCACCTTCATGCGACTTGAAACAATGCCATGTGGTAGGTAGGTCAGATTACCCCTATTTTACTCGGAGTAAGCTAAATTCAGAAACATTTAAATGTGCCCAAGGTCACACGGGTCCTGAAAAGAAGCAGGACTTCTATTCAACTTGCAACACAGGACTTCCCCCATCACACCTTGATGGTTCCCATAACTAAGTTATTATTGATTTTTTACACTAAAATAAATTCACGGTCTATTTCCTTTGATATTCACACTGCTCCCTGGACTTTGCAACGAAGTAGTAACATTCTGCAGTACTGCTAACACGAGAAGTCACTCATCCATGTGAAATTATGTTTTCTTCCTTTAAAAAAAAAAAAAAAAAGAAACTTCCCAAACAACACATCAGTTAGACTCTGAAAATAAGATGGCAAATCGCAGTAAAGTTGTGAAAACAAAGACCCAACAGTCTTTCTCCAGTGCGGGCTTGTTGCCATGAGCTAATAATTCCAGACTTTGAGCAAGCCGAGCCTCCTTTTTAATAACCATATGCCTCTAGGTAAAGTATTTCTACTAAAAATTATTGAGGCATGGAACAAGGTAAGATGTGTGAGCTCATGTTGGATTGTTCAATTACTAAACTGAGTCTCGTAGCATTAAGAGTTTTCCAACTTGACAGATTATTCCTCTTTATACACTTGTATAAACATACTGCTTACGGCTGAAATCTATGTAAGCTTTTCTTTCAATTAAAATGTCAAGGATGACAGACTGTGTTTTCAGTGTCCTTAACAGAATGAAAGGTACCACAGCAAGCGATTTCATGTCCTCATTTTTACCCCCAAAGGATGTTTTCCAGTCTAGGGGTGTCTGAAAAGCAAGGTCTGGGTCTCCAGCCTTTGCCCTTGGACAAGCCCAACTATCTTTAAGGAGCTAAGGGCCAGTACTTTTTGGGAGGAAGGTCTCAGGAGGGTCGCTGTAGACCGCTTTCCTTTCCCAGGTCTTCAAAAGATACGTGGCACTCCCGAATTGTCTATGAAACTCAGGAGAGACAAATCTATCAGGTGTGTGGTCAGGCAAAGGGAAGAAGCAAGCCATGAAAAAAAAAAAACCAACCATAAGGTTAAAGAATTGGAAGATCATATTAGCATCAAAATGAGACCATAGACATCTAAGAGAATCATGAGGAGATAATAAATAACCACTTGGAAGGACGGGCGTGTGCAGAATCAGAAGCTTCAAGGCAATGAAATGGAAAGAAGAGTGGGAAGGAAGCAGAAGATCCAGAAAGCCACTGCCATTAGAGTTTTTGACTTTGGTGGAGAGTCTTTCTCCACTTTGGGGCTCTCCATTTCATCATCTATTTAATGAAGGGATCAGACTATAGGCCATCTGGAAATGGCCTGAAGCTCTAAAATTTTGATTCTAGGGGCACCTGGGCGGCTCAGTTGGTTACTCATCCGACTTTGGCTGAGGTCATGATCTCACGGTGGGTGAGTTCAAGCACCGTGTCCGGCTCTCCGCTGTCAATGTGGAGCCCCCTTTGGATCCTCTGTCTCCCTCTGTCTCTCTACCCCTCCCCCACTCACTTGCACGTGCATGCTCTCTCTCTCTCTCTCTCTCTCTCTCTCTCTCTCTCAAAAGTTAACAAACATTTTTAAAGAATTAAAAAAAATAAAATTCAGATTCTAGATTCTGAAAATGAGATGTTCTTAATCTCTAGAGACTATATGTTTTATTATATAGTAGGTGGTCAGTGTCTGTACTAAATGGAACGGAGTCAGGATAGCACTTAGTTCCTAATGTCAAAAATACATTTGAAATATGGACAAACCACGAAAAGAATGTGTCTCTAAACAGCAAGAGAAATTG